GTTTCTAAAATCATTGAAATCAACAAATACTGTCTCCGGTGAGCAATGACGATTCCACAGCCTTACTCACTGATTGAAAAACTGGTCACATTGCCATGACGTACCTATGTTTCATCATTATCAACAACGAGGACAAACCATTGTCAACATCATGGTTAACAATGGTTTTCTTGGGGGTGGGTTGTTCATGAAACCTCAATAGATTTATGAATACAACTTTTATTGCAAGAGTCTGCGCCGTAAAGTTCGTGGACAAGCTAAAATTCAAATAAAAATGGTGTCATTGATATTTATTATTAACATATTTATAATCCTTTACTAAATGTGAACTACAAAATTTAAAATTATATTCAATTTCAAACATATAAATACAATAATGGCTTCAATATTAGACTTGGGATGAGGACCCGGAGCACCGCAAAATTTTGATTAAAAAGTTATTTATCTCTTAATAATTTTCATTTGTTTTTTGTAAAATTCAGCGGAAATTTGGATTGCTTTTCACATCATGAGGTTGACAAGAGTTATAATTTCAAACCTGCAAAATTTGAACGTTCAGAGTTTAGAAATGGCTGATAAATCGAGGTTAGAATCTATTAAGTCAGGATCGGCATTGTTCGAAAAAGTGACGTTTTCGGAAAAGGTGGAGCAGAAAGCAGTGATAAAATTCTGCGTAGACATCGGAAAAACACCATCAGAGACCCATAAATACTGTAAACAGTCGGGAAAATATAGTGAAGGAAGCCATTCTTAAGTATTTAAGTAAACTATAAAATTTTCAGATGGAAGTAACAGTTTACAGGAAGACATGCATGAAGGAGGACCATCATTCCGATATTGCAGCGCTGTTAAAAATGAATTTCGTAACGGGACTTTGCCGTATTTTCTTAAATAAATTTTTTTCGCGACAAAGGTTTGATGATTTGCAGGATCTGAGGCAGGAAGTGTTAAATATTATTTTTACCTATGAAATCTGAACAGTTAATACACGTATTTGATGACTGCTTTAAGCGACATAAGAAATGTATTGAGTTAAACGGTGACTGTGTCGAGAAAAGTTATAAAATGTGTTAAGCTTTTGACGTCAGGAACGTCAAGGATTTTCATTTTAGTACTCCGGGTATGAGTGTGTGTCTTTTTTTGTATCTGATAAAAATATAACTATTTGTGCTTTGTTTTTGTTTAAAATGTGCATATGTATAAAATGAAACATTAATTTAATGAAAATCATAGTTTCATGTATTTTATCAATGTTTGTCAGTAATTATCAATGTTGTCCACGAACTTTACGGACAAACCTCGTAATTGCTACGAATATAATGGAAACCGAAAAGATGAAATGTCGTTTCGAACCTTTGACGGTATGTTCTATCTATATATCTTTTACATATGTACACGTAATTCCTATACAAAATATAAACAGAAAATGTACAAAGACGAGTTGTAGTCTACCTTTATGAAACCATTAGCCATATCTATCATCTGGAAGAAAAATCTAATAATTAAAAGTACCGTAAGTGAGGGTAATGAATCTTTAATCAATGACAGAATACAAATTATATTGGCCTTTGCTTAGACTACGTTTTCTGAATTCATTTAGAGTTCAGGAACCCTGACCATTGTACCTGCTGAGCTTGTGTCGGCGTGGGAGGTCCTCTGTCCTGTGCCTGTCCACTATGATTCCCCTTACAGGTGACAATCATTAAACGGTAGCATTTGCAAATCCAAATAGGCATAATAAAAATAGTTACCGTATATACTCGCCTATAAGTCAGTATTTTGGGAGTTAAATTTTAGTCCAAAAGTCTATGTCCGACTTATAGGCGAGTCATAAAGAGACTGGTATTTTTTGGATGGGAAATCGAAGTATTATATAAACAATTTCGACAGCTATCGTTGAAGAAAATTTGGATATATTATTTCATTTATGTATTTTAAAATTATACATAAATTACGTGTATTTTATATACAAGTTTTTAATAATTTATTTTTTTAATCTTAAGAGGGCATTATTTATTTTTTTATGATATAAAGTTAAATATCGACTTTTTTCCTTAAAAATATGAATTGAAATCAGCCTAAATCATCGGAGCATTTGTTACAAATTGTCATCTGATTCTGGCAAAAAGTTATACCGGTTTATAAGCGGGTGAATGGCAAATCCTTGTCAAATAACCTCAAAAGATACAACCGACTTATAGGCGAGTATGTACGGTATTCCTTTAAGAACGCTGCAGCAGTACAACGTCTCGATCTCATTAGACAATGTCACCTTTAGCAATGAACAACCATACACAGTGTACGACTCCGTTTGTCAACAGTGTGATGTCACAGGACAATGTCATTTTAAGGTATGATGTACGTGTATTTTATATGGAGACTGGCTAATTTTGAAAAATGAAATCTTTTTCCCCCTAGAATGACGCCTGTTTAAGTGACGGAAACTGTTTCCAATCAGGTTACCTGAATCACGAGCACAAGAAAGTTTGTGACCCATCTCGGTCACAGAATTATTGGTCAAGTCCAGGTAAGTCTTAATATCAAATTAAGATATCATGTAAGTTACAGTACAATGCAACTATTATTTACCAGGAACAAATCAATCACAATACCATCTGTCTTTAGGACTTGAGGAAAATCTTAGAATCAGATCAATTTTAGGAACAATAACTGTTAAATCCTAGTGAGGTTGGGAAATCGGATAAGTCACTGTATCATGATCAAACTAAAATATAGAAATAAATTTGTAAATTTCAATAAGTGAAATATTTGTCCTATCGCAGGACAGCAAGATACCATTACACAGAAAACCAGTATTTTTTAATCCTTATCCAAGAAAAATAGTCTTTCAAAAATCTGTTGCAATTATCAGTGATACCAACTTTTGCACCCCGTTATTAACAGACCTATTTTTGTATTCACATGAAGCAGAATTTATGCAAAAATTTATACATGGAAAGAAGAGAAAACTTTTGTGACCTTCAACTTAACATTTAGATACTATATATCAACGACATATTGTCAGTTCACAATGGTGTTTATTCTTATGCCGACATATATCCTGGTGATCTTGAAATAAGATACCACAGTCTGACACCTCTGTTTCATATTTGAATATTTTATTAGAAAAAGATGTTAAAGGTAACCCAACAACTAAGTTTTATGATAAACATGATGACTAGCATTTTAATCGTCAACATCCCTTAATTCCTTATCACCTGCATAGGGGTTTTATATCTCTCAGTTGATTCGATACGGAAGATCATGCTCTTCTAAGGAACAATTTCTAAAACGAGTTAAGCTATTGACAAATAAGTTGATGAATTAAGAATATCAACAGTCTCGTTTAAAGTCGTAATTTTAAGTTCTATGGTCGATGACATAATAATGACTTTGTAAGCAAATACAATCTATCATTACGTCGAAAACCGACTGTCGTTTTTGATACTTACTGTTGGGACATTATTTACACACTAAATTGTCGACGGATTTTTCCGTTATTTCCCGATCATGTCAAGGTGCAAATCGCGGATGCGACCGCTTAGCAGGGGATTCTCATTCCTCTACGGTACCCGATCCCACAAAGTATGTTTTAATGGTCCGTGTTTGCTGTGCTCCTGATTTGTAAATGTACTTCTAAGCTTCAATACTGTCCGATTATGTCTTTAAATATTTTTTCTGTGCAACAAGTCACAAAATTTCACACATAATATAAGAGAATCTTTTCTTATATGTTCTTCAAAATTTCATATCAAAATGTTGTAAATTGGTATCAATTTTGAGTGATTTATTAGGACATATCATTAAGTCACGGAGCAGCAAAATCATTGACGTCACAAGCATTATAAAAAACATGTGTTTGAGCTTTCATTTTCTCATTTTTTTTCCCCAAGAGTACCTGTACAGTTTGAGTTACCTCATCTATTCAACATCCAAACACCATTTCTTGTCAAGCTTCAAATCTATTAAATAAGTAAAGAATATTCTTTCTTATTTTGTTTTAAAACCAAAAAAAAAAACTGCAGGTATTTATGAGATATAGTGTGATATTGGTGACTCTCAATCACGTTCTTTACAGTCCGGATAAAGTTTTCGTCGATAATCTTCTTCCCGTCCTCCCGTATAGCCTTTTTACAGAGGTCTAACGGTCTAAAATTTCAATTTGCTATTTGTGGACGAATGTCACGAATACCCTAGTTTACTACATGTTTTATTATGCATATTTTGGATCTATGTTGGCGATATCTCGAGCATTACACATAATTTAACAAAAGTGTGGTGGTCCGTCAATTCAGGAGACGTCATTTTCACAGTCGTTTTCACGGGAATCCCATCGGAGAAAAATAAAAATAACTATATTTCTGTTAGTACTTCAAATATCACGTCAGAAATCTAAATACATAAGAATAGAACAATTTAAAGATACATTTGAGAATATTGTTAAAAAATATCGAGAATTATAGAAAAATAATGAGTTGAATTTTGGATTCTGCATGCTTTTGCTTCAAATTTTTTGTCGTGCTCCGTACCTCTCCATCAGCGATATCAACATAACGATTATTTTCGTAGAATATTTTTAAAATACAGAAATTTTGCCCAAAATTAATTGGAATCTTTAAGATACATATTTCTGTGAAATTTCATAACTATATGACGTCTGTAAGAGTAAATAATAGCACAGTCCGCGTAATTTTTGAACGGCCCTCGTACAATGTATACACCAATGTATATTTTAGAAGTGCCTTTTGTGGTAATAACTTGTTTAAAGAGATATTTATTTCAAAACAAACAAAATGAAAAAATAAATACCCCGGTAGCTAGAAAGCATTCCAGAAAAAAAATATACTAAGTTTACATGGTAATTGCAATAAAATTTTCCAAGATGCGAACTATATACCGGTATATACATGTATATCGCTGCTTAATGTACTGGATATTTTTGTACTGAAAAATTCGGGGAAAATTCATTAAAAGAATTCAATCAATATAATAACAATTAATAAAGAAAGGTCAAATATCTACAAAAGTGTACAATGTATAGCATGTGCAATACAATTTTTCAATATGCATTTTTATGCGATACTTAATCATTTCTAAAAGGTCGTTGCTAAAATTTCGAGGGTTCCACCTTAATTTTTAAAGTTTTTGTTTTTGGTTTTCTGTCCTTTTCTTTCTGCAACAAGCACGCAAGTTCATACAAAGCCAGAAAATTGTTCACGAAAATTGGAATAATTAAAGCAAGAACAATAACTCCACTGACTGCGCACAAACTCCCAATAATGCGCCCGGAAAATGTGACCGGATACAAGTCACCATAACCGACAGTTGTCATGGTGATTATTCCCCACCACCACGCCTGTGGAATGCTGGATATGTTTTTTGGTTCGACAAAGAAAAGCATATTGGCAAAAATGTTTACACCGACAAACAAAAATAACATGAGAATCAGTATTTCCTTAATATTGGTTTTGAAACAGAAAGCGAGTACTTTGATGGCGGCAACATTCTGTACAACTCGAATCAAACGGAACACGCGAAGTTGCTGGAGATAAACCAATATATCAAGATCTCCCCTGTCATAGGTAAAGTTTATTAAAACTTTTTCCAGAACATATCCCAGAATTCCACAAATCAAGACAACAGTATCAATAACGTTCAGCGCTGACTTATAATACGAAGCAATGCTTGGACAAGTTACCAGTCTTAGGATCAGATCAACAGCGAAAACAACCAAGACAATAAGGTCTATCAAGTCGAACACCTTCAGACGAGCGCTTTTGTTTGGTAGGCTTATTTTCTTAAGTTTCCATTTTAATTTCATTTCATTTATATACTCCTTGCCCATTCCACTGGCTTCCTTTTCTTTTATATCTTCTTGAAACGTTTCATCATCTGTATAGTTTCCGTACTTCAAATAAATAGATCTCAAAACGTCTTCTGCACTGCTGTCGCACTTTACTTTAGCGAAAAAATTCTCAATATCGTCTTCATATTTATGGTTGTAAAGTAATAAATCGCGTGCTTCGCAAATCGTCAGTTTTCTCTGGAAGATCGGTAACGTGCTTAAAGATAACGAGGCCAAAGACAAAAGAACAAAGAGAATGATGAATCCAAGATACACCTGCAAAAAACTTTCAGAAATAAATATCCTTTTCTAAGCAGGTGCATTGATCTATTTCTAAGTAAGTATAAGGCCTACAAACCTTGCTGGAATGATTTACCTTCAGATGGGCTTTTGGTCCTTGATCTGATATACATTTTGTATATGAGACATCAGTAAATTGTTTTTGAGAAGCTCTAAATCAAGAATTTCAGCTGTCTTGTTTAAAGTCAAAATTTCACCAATTGTATATATGGTCGTTACAGTGACCTTGAAAATATAGTATATCATTAAGTATCTCGAATGCAATTGTCTACGGATTTTGCCCATTGCCAGATCATGACAAGGACCAAACGGCCGACAAGGGATGCTTATCCCTCCAATTGCCGCCTGATCCCACTGCTGATGTTTTAAAGGTACTTGGACACAGGTTTGAAGTTATTATTTTCTCTATAATATTACGACTCATATATTTTAATAGCATTTCATACAAAAATTAATTAAAAATCTTATTTCCTATAAAAGATATTAAAATTTCAAATTTTTTGGCGGGTTTGATTGACACATCGTTGCACTTTCACAAATTAATTTTATTCTTAATCCTTAAGAAAAGTGGCAATCTCGTTGTGTATAAATGAAAAATATTAATACAATAATCCAGAAAATTCAGAGTAGACATGTTCGAAAGCAAAACAAACACACAATAAATTTTCAGTCCGTGCAGTTGTGGTAAGCAGACTGTGACGATTGAACGCACCCGGTGAATTGTAATAATAATAATAATAATATATGAATTTATAAAGCGCTAAATATTAATAATATAACTCTAAAGCGCTGTACAATAAAACGCAAGTAAACATAATTTAAAAGCTATGAAAACTTATATAAAATATTAACCCATACTCATATATGTGTTCGAAATTATAACATTAAAATACTACAAATTACATACAAAATACAATTACACCATCAATAAAACTCAATAAAAGAACATCATTTGTAATTTATGATTTGCTGCTAAAAATTGAGCACCTAAAACTTAAAAAGCTATCCTATAAAAATGCGTCTTTAATTGTCTTTTGAAAATATCCAGGGACTGGGCCTGCTTTATATCATTAGGAAGGTCGTTCCACAAAAATGCTGCTGCCCAACCAAGTCGACGTTCACCATATGTCTTCGTCCTGATCTTAGGAACAACTAACCGTGATGTTGACTCAGATCGCAGTGATCTGGTAGGCTTGTATTCCATTATAAGATCTTTGATATACGATGGAGCCAACCCGTGTAAGGATTGGTAGACATATGTCAAGATTTTATATTGTGGACGAAAAGAAACAGGTAGCCAATGAAGATCAGCTAGGATTGGTGTAATATGCTCCCGTTTCGATGATCTTGTAACTAAACGAGCTGCCGTGTTCTGGACTTTTTGAATCCGGTCTAGTAAGGCCTTTGACACTCCATATAGAAGGCAGTTCCCATAGTCCAGCCTGGCAGTGATAACGGCATTCACCATGGTCTTGCAGGCTTCTTTTGTAAGAAAGCGCCGTATTCGTCCTATATTGCTTATTTGAAAATAGCATGACTTGACGACCGAGGATACCTGTTTTTCCATAGTAAGGTGTTGATCGAAAAATGCACCTAGATTTTTTACACATTGTAAACATCAACAATAGCAGAATCCGTGCCCTGTTTACAAAAACTGTGTTCATAACACGAGTGTGCTCGATTTGCTAAACTCAGTACGCAACTCTTAGTTCGGAATGACGATACTTGGTGAAGGAGTTTTGCTTTCTAACATTACTACTCTGAATAAAATTATTTTTCTGGATAAAAATCTTAATATTTCTCATTAAAACACAATAAGATTGCCACTTTTCCTAAGGATTAAGAATAAGGTTAAAATTTGTGAAAGTGCAAGGATGTATCAATCAAACCCGCCAAAAAATTTGAAGTTTTAATAACTTTTAAATGAAATAAGATTTATAATAATTTTTTGTGTGAAAGGCTATTAAAATATATAAGTCGTAATATTATATAGAAAATATTGACTTCAAATCTGTGTTAAGAGAAGTCCGTGTTTGCATTGCTTACAATATGCATTGTTTCAATGGACTTCTGATTACTGTAGATTCCTAATTATACGCGAGGAATCAATTTCCGCGTAATTTTGCGAGAAGCATCACTCCCCAAAAATAGTACTCGCTTTTATTTTTATGATGCTGAAATATATGTAAAATATGTTGATCAACCGTCCATTCGCGAAGTATAATTCTCCCGATTCGCGATAAAAAGTACATATACTCGCGGAAAATAAAGAATCTACAGTACTGTTCGATGTCTC